TATTATACAGGATTTATATAGCACCAACAGTTTGCTCAGCGCTTTACAATATAACGGGAGACAATACAGCAACAATACAGTTCAATACAAGAGGGATAGGAGGGCCCTGATCCTGGGAGCTTACAATATAGGAGGGAGGGGCTAGTGGTACAAAAGGTAGTAACTGTGGGGGATGGACTGGTAGGAAGAGTAGAAGTTTCCAATATTAGCTGAGGGCAGGATAGGCTTCCCTGAAGAGATAGGTTTTCAGAGATCACCTAAAAGTGAGCAGAGTAGGCGATAGTCTGATAAATTGGGGTAGAGAGTTCCAGAGGATGGGGGAAGCTCTGGAGAGGTCCTGGAGATGAGCATGGGGGAGGAGGAGACAAGGGAGCTAGAGAGTAGGAGGTCTTACGAGGAGCGGAGAGTACGGTTTGGGTGATATTTGGAGACAAGATCGGTGATGTAATTTGGGGCAGAATTATAAATGGCTTTATAGGTTATTGTTAATGTTTTGAATTTTATTTGTTGGCCAACGGGAAGGCAGTGGAGGGATTGGCAGAGAGGGATGGAGGACACTGAGTGGAGGTCAGTGGAGGGATTGGCAGAGAGGGATGGAGGACACTGAGTGGAGGTCAGTGGAGGGATTGGCAGAGAGGGGTGGAGGACACTGAGTGGAGGTCAGTGGAGGGATTGGCAGAGAGGGATGGAGGACACTGAGTAGAGGTCAGTGGAGGGATTGGCAGAGAGGGGTGGAGGACACTGAGTGGAGGCCAGTGGAGGGATTGGCAGAGAGGGGTGGAGGACACTGAGTGGAGGCCAGTGCAGGGATTGGCAGAGAGGGGTGGAGGACACTGAGTGGAGGCCAGTGGAGGGATTGGCAGAGAGGGATGGAGGACACTGAGTGGAGGCCAGTGGGGGGATTGGCAGAGAGGGCTGGAGGACACTGAGTGGAGGTCAGTGGAGGGATTGGCAGAGAGGGGTGGAGGCCAGTGGAGGGATTGGCAGAGAGGGGTGGAGGACACTGAGTGGAGGCCAGTGGAGGGATTGGCAGAGAGGGGTGGAGGACACTGAATGGAGGCCAGTGGACGGATTGGCAGAGAGGGGTGGAGGACACTGAATGGAGGCCAGTGGACGGATTGGCAGAGAGGGGTGGAGGACACTGAATGGAGGCCAGTGGAGGGATTGGCAGAGAGGGGTGGAGGACACTGAATGGAGGCCAGTGGAGGGATTGGCAGAGAGGGGTGGAGGACACTGAGTGGAGGCCAGTGGAGGGATTGGCAGATCGTACAATCATTTTTCTGAAAAGAATATGAGCATGAGCCGTGACCTGGAAGGAACAGAAGTTTCGCCTGTTATTTGGGGTGAACTTTATGACTCGGTCGGCTGATTTTTTAAATCATTGATGGCGCCGTCGGATTACCGAGCAAACGATGGTTTCGATTTTCGGACGAAAAATCGACCCATGTATGGCCAGCATTAGTCTTGCAGTGCTGGTGTTCTGGTTTCAGTTTCTACAAGAGACCCTGACCACAGTGCGGGTGTTCTGGTTTCCTGATAATATACTGGCAGGTTCAGGTAGATCCAAACCCTATCTAGACAACATTTATTGAACAGTAAGGCAATGTATATATACACAATTGAACTCCAGGCGCAAAAATCTTTATCAAAACATATTCCTCAATAGGCACAAAGGATATAAATCCATAAAATGTTTTTGCAAACCTAGATATTAGCTTGTAAAAGTAGCAGTGACATCACCACTGTGCTAGAACAGTAATCAATGTCCTGCGCTTAGGTGAACCTGTTGCTAAAGCTGCTAACCCTAACCATATACCAATAAAAATGGTCAACCCAGCACAGTGGCTTAGTGGTTAGCATGTCTGCCTTGCAGAAAATGGGTCATGGGTTTTCTATGGGTTTGATTCCCGACCATAGTAACTCCTGCATGGAGTTTGCATGTTCTCCCTGTGCCTGTGAGGGTTTTCTCCGGGTACTCTGGTTTCCTCCCACACTCCAAAGACATGCTGGTAGGTGAATTGGCTCCTGTCTAAATTGTTCCTAGTATGTGTATGTATGAATGTGAGTTAGGGACCTTAGATTGTACACCCCTTGAGGGTTAGGGACCTTAGATTGTACGCCCCTTGAGGGTTGGGGACTGATGTGAATGTACAATATACATGTAAAGTGCTGTGTAGATTGATGGTGCTATGCAAGTACCTCTAATAAATAATATATAGATTCCCTACTGACAGTGAACCCAGGACCCGGTGCTGCAAGAGTGATGAGCAGTCTAGCCACTGCCATGCTAGGTTCAGGTAATATTACAATACCGCTCACACACAGAATAACAGCAACATGAAACCAAACTTCCTGAAGGTAAATGTATAATACTAGTGTGTGACTGCGGGGGGGGGGGACACATTAGAGTGTAAGCTCCTCTGCTGCTGATGTGAATGGTCCAGTGCAGAGGTGGACTGACAACTCATGGGGCCCCCAGGCAATAGAGAATCATGGGGCCCCTGTGTCCTTGCCCAAACTCAAAAAAGCCTATGAAAAAGGGTACCAGGGGCATCTCATGGGGCCCCCTACTGACCCCGGGCCCTCGGGCAGTGCCCGAGTTTCCAAATGGTCAGTCCACCCCTGGTCCCTAACCCTAAGGGGCATACAATCTAAGGTCCCTAACCCTCAAGGGGCGTACAATCTAAGGTCCCTAACCCTCAAGGGGAGTACAATCTAAGGTCCCTAACCCTCAAGGGGCGTACAATCTAAGGTCCCTAACCATCAAGGGGCGTACAATCTAAGGTCCCTAACCCTCAAGGGGAGTACAATCTAAAGTCCCTAACCCTAAGGGGCGTACAATCTAAGGTCCCTAACCCTCAAGGGGGGTACAATCTAAGGTCCCTAACCCTAAGGGGCGTACAATCTAAGGTCCCTAGCCCTCAAGGGGGGTACAATCTAAGGTCCCTAACCCTAAGGGGCGTACAATCTAAGGTCCCTAACCCTCAAGGGGGGTACAATCTAAGGTCCCTAACCCTCAAGGGGTGTACAATCTAAGGTCCCTAACCCTAAGGGGCGTACAATCTAAGGTCCCTAACCCTCAAGGGGCGTACAATCTAAGGTCCCTAACCCTCAAGGGGGGTACAATCTAAGGTCCCTAACCCTCAAGGGGCGTACAATCTAAGGTCCCTAACCCTCAAGGAGGGTACAATCTAAGGTCCCTAACCCTCAAGGGGGGTACAATCTAAGGTCCCTAACCCTCAAGGGGCGTACAATCTAAGGTCCCTAACCCTCAAGGGGAGTACAATCTAAGGTCCCTAACCCTCAAGGGGTGTACAATCTAAGGTCCCTAACCCTCAAGGGGTGTACAATCTAAGGTCCCTAACCCTAAGGGGCGTACAATCTAAGGTCCCTAACCCTCAAGGGGCGTACAATCTAAGGTCCCTAACCCTCAAGGGGCGTACAATCTAAGGTCCCTAACCCTCAAGGGGCGTACAGTCTAAGGTCCCTAACCCTCAAGGGGCGTACAATCTAAGGTCCCTAAACCTCAAGGGGGGTACAATCTAAGGTCCCTAACCCTCAAGGGGCGTACAATCTAAGGTCCCTAACCCTCAAGGGGGGTACAATCTAAGGTCCCTAACCCTCAAGGGGCGTACAATCTAAGGTCCCTAACCCTCAAGGGGCGTACAATCTAAGGTCCCTAACCCTCAAGGGGGGTACAATCTAAGGTCCCTAACCCTCAAGGGGCGTACAATCTAAGGTCCCTAACCCTCAAGGGGGGTACAATCTAAGGTCCCTAACCCTCAAGGGGCGTACAATCTAAGGTCCCTAACCCTCAAGGGGCGTACAATCTAAGGTCCCTAACCCTCAAGGGGGGTACAATCTAAGGTCCCTAACCCCTCAAGGGGCGTACAATCTAAGGTCCCTAACCCTCAAGGGGCGTACAATCCAAGGTCCCTAACCATCAAGGGGCGTACAATCTAAGGTCCCTAACCCTCAAGGGGTGTACAATCTAAGGTCCCTAACCCTCAAGGGGTGTACAATCTAAGGTCCCTAACTCACATTCATACATACACATACTAGGGACAATTTAGACAGGATCTGCCAGCATGTCTTTGGAGTGTGGGAGGAAACTGGAGTACCAAGAGGAAACCCACACAGGCACAGGGAGAACATGCAAACTCCAGGCAGGTGGTGCCATGGTTGGGATTTGAAACAATGCCCCTAGTACTGCCAGGCAGGAGTGCTAACCATTTAGCCACTGTGCTGCCCAATGTGTTATAATAATAATAATAATAATAAATAATAATTACACTTCAGCTTGTTCAGTGAAGCATTGGCAGTAAACCCTGGAAGCTGGTTGGTTTCTGTACAGATCTGCACCATATTTTGCACCCTCCAGTTTTAGTAAATCCCCCCCTTTGTAGTTTTGAAAGTAAGCAATGCCGTCCTCAAACATGGGACCCTCTCAAGTGTTCCTCCAAAGTTCATCTGATACGGACAGGTTCCCAGTGAAGATATAGAGAGTGCAGGGGCCGGTTGATGAGGAGCAGGGATGTAAAGGGGCAGAGGGTCACTATACTAAGAGGGGATGGAATTAGGTGGTGGGGGCACTTTAGGTTCAGCAGCCCCCCCCCCAGGTTGATGAAGTGCAGACCCTCCAGGATAGTGACTTGCCTGCAGATAAAGGGAAGGGAGAAATCAGAGTTCAGTCCCAGCTGTCAGATTGAGTGAAGACATACCATGTGTGATGTCACCAACCAGTCCCAGGGCTCTCCCACCTCTAAAACAATGAACATTTAACTGACCATTCGAACACTCGGGCACTGCCCGAGGGCCGGGGTCAGTAGGTGGCCCCATGAGATGCCCCTGGTACCTTTCATTGGCTTTTTTATAGGCTTTTTTGAGTGTTAGCGAGGACACAGGGGCCCCATGATCCCTTATTGGCCGGGGGCCCCATGAGTTGTCAGTCCGCCCCTGGTCCCTAACCCTCAAGGGGTATACAATCTAAGGTCCCTAACTTACATTCATACATACACATATAGGGACAATTTAGACAGGAGCCAATTAACCTACCAGCATGTCTTTGGAACGTGGGAGGAAAACTGGGGGTACCTGGAGGAAACCCACACAGGCACAGGGAGAACATGCAAACTCCAGGCAGATGGTGGACACTATGATTATTATTATAGTACAGGATTTATATCGCGTCAACAGTGTACACAGCACTTTACAACGTAAGGGCGGACAGTACATGGACAGTAAATGGTTAGCACTTTCGCCTGGCACCACCTGCCTGGAGTTTGCATGTTCTCCCTGTGCTGCTCGGGTGGGTTTCCTCCGGGTACTCTGGTTTCCTCCCACCCTCCAAAGACATGCTGGTAGGTTAATTGGCTCCTGTCTACATTGTCCCTAGTATGTGTATGTATGAATGTGAGTTAGGGACCTTAGATTGTACGCCCCTTGAGGGTTAGGGACCTTAGATTGTACGCACCTTGAGGGTTAGGGACCTTAGATTGTACGCCCCTTGAGGGTTAGGGACCTTAGACTGTACGCCCCCTTGAGGGTTAGGGACCTTAGAATTGTACGCCCCTTGAGGTTAGGGACCTTAGACTGTACGCCCCTTGAGGGTTAGGGACCTTAGATTGTACGCCACTTGAGGGTTAGGGACCTTAGATTGTACACCCCTTGAGGGTTAGGGACCTTAGTTTGTACACCCCTTGAGGGTTAGGGACCTTTAGATTGTACACCCCTTGAGGGTTAGGGACCTTAGATTGTACACCCCCTTGAGGGTTAGGGACCTTAGATTGTACACCCCTTGAGGGTTAGGGACCTTAGATTGTATACCCCTTGAGGGGTTAGGGACTGATGTGAATGTACAATATATATGTAAAGTGCTGAGTAAATGGACGGTGCTATATAAGTACCTGAAATAAATAAATAATACAGGAGGGATCAGAGGGACCTGCTCATTAGAACTCACAGTCTAAGCCTACCTCCCCAACTGTCCCTGATTTGGAACAAAGTCCCTCTTTCCTCATTTGTCCCTCATTTTGGTCCGATCTATATAGTTTGTATATAAAATGCATTATTTGTCTATCAAAAAGTGCTTCACGGTGCTAAACCTTTCATCCATTTCTAAATGGTTGCTTTTGTAAATTTCAAAAGCCAATATAAAGGAAGAGTAGAGGTAAAAAAAAAAAGCACTTGTGGGTTTAACCAAACCTTTTTTTTAAAAAAATAATTCTCCTTTAACCGCTTTCACACCACTGTATAGCAGATATACTGCTACACGGCGGCACCTGTGCGCAAAATCACGTATATATACGTGACTTTGCATTTCCGGGTAGCAGAAATGTGCACAGCACAGCCATCCTGATCAGTATGATTACAGTAAAGCACACACCCCACCCCCACCCCCTAGTAAAACACTCCCTACACACAGTTAACCCTTTGATCGCCCCTCACATTAAACCCTTCCTGCCCAGTGCCATTAGTACAGTGTCAGTGCTGTTTTTTTTAGCTCTGATCACTGTATTGGTGTCACTAAGGATGTCAGTGACACCAAGTTTTCCCCCAGTGTCAGAATGTCCGCCGCAATCCCGCTAAAAGTCGCTGATCGCCACCATAAGTCGCTCATCGCCGCCATTGCTAGTAGAAAAAAAAATCCCAGTATATATACCGTCATTTGTAGACGCTATAACTTTCACATAAACCAATTAATTTACCCGTATTGGGATTTTGTTTTCAGCAAACACACGGAGCAGAATACATTTTGGCCTAAATTTATGGCAAAATTAGATTTTTTTAAAAAAATTTTTTTTACTGGACATGTTTTATAGCAAAAAGTCCAAAATATTGTTTTTTTTTCTCAAAATTGTTGGTTTTTTTTTGTTTATAGCACAAAAAAAATAAAAAACGCACAGGCGATCAAATACCACAGAAAGAAAGCTCAATTCGTGGAGAAAAAGGACACAAATTTCATTTGGGTGCAGCGTTGCATGACCGCACAATTGTCAGTTAATGTAACGCAGCGCCGTAACACAAAATATGGCCTGGTCAGGAAGGGGGGAAATCCTCAGGAGGGCAAGTGGTTAGGGGGGTGTGGGCAGGGGGTGTGTCTATGCCTGCATACATTTGCTAATAGGTGTCCCTCTTTCCCATCTCAAAAAGTTGGGAGGTATGATCTAAGAGATGTTCAAAAACTCCATCTTGTTCCAGTGCATTCAGCTTGTTTTAAATGGTCTTGCTTGCATTTTCTTTGCATCTGGAGGATATGGTGCTTTATGTGCATTACAGTGGAGTTGTCCTCTGCCCACGCGGGGCTGGAACATGCATAGATGTCCAGGAACATCCAAAAACTTCCAGGTGCTAATACATAATGTCTTCCTCTTCTGTTTCAATATTTTTATTAGGAAAGTTTTGGTTTTAAGACTATAACAAGCTCAAAATACGCCCCCGCAGGGGCAGAGCAGAACAATAGCACATAAACAGAGACATCCTGCTGACTAGTATTAGTCAAATAATGAAATGTCCAATGACATCAAGAAGGGACGGCAAAAAAGCCGAGCCAAATAGCAGCAGTAATCCAACATAATATCGGAAAAAAGGAGAAAAGAAAAAGAAAATAAAACAAAAAGGGAATCAGAAAAAACATGAAAGAAGGGAAACTAGAGGGATCACGGATCCGGGGCTAGCACCGTCAGCGACTATAGGAGGCCATAACTAGTAGGAGGCAGGGATGGTAAGGAATAACGTATCCAAGGTTCCCAAACCTTAAGGAATCTCGGATGAGAATCATGAAGAATGCTTGACATCTGTTTGAACAACATAGCATTCATCTGGGTTTTCACCCCCTGGAAGTCTACGAAGGTGTTCTCCAAGCTTGAGCTATAGCACGTTTGGCCAAAATGAATAGGTAGGATGCCAATTTCTGTTGAGACCTAGACAGACCCAAAATTGGGCAATGCAGGAGGGCCACCTTTGCATCCCTACAGACCGTAATATGAAATAGCATTTGCAGCAAAACCAAAAACCCTAGACCAGAAGCCTATCAATCGCGGGCACGACCACCAAATGTGCAAGACGTCCCCTTGTAGAGCACAGTTCCGGAAACACCTCTCTCCACCAATCGGATTAAAGTGAGCAGTCCGAGCCGGGGGACCCAGTACCGCCGCAGTAGAACTTTGTACGCTGCCTCAAGAGCGACTGTATTGAATGAACATTTCGCCACCATCCCCCAGGCCCTACGCCACTCTTCCTCCGCAATCGAGACACCCAAATCTCGCTCCATTGAGAGACACAAGACAGGGGTGGTGAGGAGGACCTACTGTTAAGGGATGCATAAATTACAGAAATGAGACCATGGGACCCTGGGGAGTGCTGACAAACGTGTTCAAAGGACGTTTTGCGGTAAGGATATGTAGAGGTACGACGGAGGGATAGGGCCCAGTGGCCCAATGGCAAATACCGATAATATTCCCGTGCAGGGACCCCCCCCTTGATTGTCGAAGTGACTCCCAAGATGGAAGCGTACGAGCGCTCAGAAAATCGTGTACAATAACAAATGTCTTCCTCTTGATCCCTGATCAGTGCTGGCCATGTGGGCAGCCTGGGGATACCACACTGCACATCTGGTGGTCCTGACATGAAATTAGTCCCAATTGGAAAACCATTTTTTCAGATTTACATGCACTTGACAGGGGCCACCTTATGAACCTCGCCCCAGGTTCCTCTACTATCTGTATTGCTGGGATCACTCCCTTTTAGCACACATTATGTAGGCAAAGGACACGTCCCTGCCATGGCCCCAGTAACACAAAGCACAAAGGTCTAATATGCAGAAATTGATTGGCTAAACCACACAAGTGCCCTTTTGACCACAATGTTGTTTTTTTTTTTTAAAAAAAAACCAATGCAGTAGTATAGAGGTTGAGCCAATAGTTTGGTTCGCCATTAGACTTTTGGTAATAAAATAGTACATTTGTATTGAAGGTGGCCATGGAACATGTCTGATCCTGGAAAACACCTGCCAATGATGATGGAGCATACCTGTTGCTGGAATACATCTGCCAGTGATGGTGTAACACACATGAGGCTGTAATACATCTACCAGTGATGGTGTAACATACCTGATGCTGGAACACACCTGCCAGTGACCATGGAGTATGTTTGATGCTAGAAAACACCTGTCAGTGATGACGGAGTACACAAGTTGCTGGAGTACATCTGCTAGTGATGATGAAGCATACTTGATGCTGGAACATGCTTGCCAGTGATGCTACAGCAGACATGATGCTAGAGCATCCTGTCAGTACACTGTTGCACAAAATGATGCTGGAGCACACCTGCCTGTGACCTTGGAGCACATTTGATACTGGAAAATACCTGCCAGTGATGATGGAGCACACCTGATACTGAAATTACCTGACAGTGATGATGGAGCACAGCCGATAGTGGAAATTACCTGATAATGATGATGGAAACACAGCTGCTAGTGGAAATTACCTGCCAGTGATGATGGAACTCACCAAATACTGGAAATTACCTGCTAGTGATGACAGAGCACACCTGATACTGGAAATTACCTGCCAGTGATGACGGGGCACACCTGATACTGGAAATTACCTGCCAGTGATGACGGAGCTCACCTGATACTGGAAATTATCTGTCAGTGATGATGGAGCTCACCTGATACTGGAAATTACCTACCTGTGATGATGGAGCTCACCTGATAGTAGAAATTACCCCGATAATGATGATGAAGCACACTTAATACTGGAAATTACCGACCAGTGATGATAGAGTACACCTGATACTGGAAATTACCTGATAGTGCTGATGGAGCACACCCGATACTGGAAAGTACCTGATAGTGATGATGGAGCTCACTTGATGCTGGAAATTACCTGCCAGTGATGATGAAGCACACCTGATAGTAGAAATTGCCTGCCAGTGATGATGGCGCACACCTGATACTGGAAATTACCTGCCAGTGATGACGGAGCTCACCTGATACTGGAAATTATCTGTCAGTGATGATGGAGCTCACCTGATACTGGAAATTACCTACCTGTGATGATGGAGCTCACCTGATAGTAGAAATTACCCGATAATGATGATGAAGCACACTTAATACTGGAAATTACCTACCAGTGATGATAGAGTACACCTGATACTGGAAATTACCTGATAGTGCTGATGGAGCACACCCCGATACTGGAAAGTACCTGATAGTGATGATGGAGCTCACTTGATGCTGGAAATTACCTGCCAGTGATGATGAAGCACACCTGATAGTAGAAATTGCCTGCCAGTGATGATGGCGCACACCTGACACTGGAAATTGCCTGTCAGTGATGATGGCGCACACCTGATACTGGAAATTACCTGATAGTGATGATGGCGCACACCTGACACTGGAAATTGCCTGTCAGTGATGATGGCGCACACCTGATACTGGAAATTACCTGATAGTGATGATGGCGCACACCTGATACTGGAAATTACCTGACAGTGATGATGAAGGAGAAGTGGGACTGTGCAGAGTCCATACATACAGAATAAGGCTGGCCATACATTATACAATTTTCTTGAGGTTTTTGCTTTAGATTTACAAAGAACCATATAATATGAGGTCAAAACTAACAACACTTTCAGTTGTATCCAAGTAGGCCAGCTCTTGCAATACATAGTTGAAGGTAAATCTAAAGGAAATTGGACAGAAAATTGTATAGCGTATGGCCAGCCTAAGGACAGATCCCGAGAATGACACCCGACATCCAGGAAAAGCAAAGTCCTACTGTGCAGATCCATACATACAGAATGAGAACAGATACTGAGAATTATACCCAGCATACAGAAGAAGGAGAAGTGGTATTATGCAGAGTCCATACATACAGAATGAGAACAGATACTGAGAAATTATACCCAGCATACAGGAGAAGAGAAGTGGTATTATGCAGAGTCCATGCATACAGAATGAGAACAGATACTGAGAATTATACCCAGCATACAGGAGAGAAGAGAAGTGGTATTATGCAGAGTCCATACATACAGAATGAGAACAGATACTGAGAATTATACCCAGCATACAGGAGCATACAGGAGAAGAGAAGTGGTATTATGCAGAGTCCATGCATACAGAATGAGAACAGATACTGAGAATTATACCCAGCCAGCATACAGGAGAAGAGAAGTGGTATTATGCAGAGTCCATGCATACAGAATGAGAACAGATACTGAGAATTATACCCAGCATACAGGAGAAGAGAAGTGGTATTATGCAGAGTCCATGCATACAGAATGAGAACAGATACTGAGAATTATACCCAGCATACAGGAGAAGAGAAGTGGTATTATGCAGAGTCCATGCATACAGAATGAGAACAGATACTGAGATACTGAGAATTATGCACCCAGAATGAGAACAGCATACCCAGACAGGAGAAGAAGTGGTATTATGCAGAGTCCATGCATACAGAATGAGAACAGATACTGAGAAGAAGAGTCCACAAGAACATGAAGGGCAATTTGCCAACTATAACAGATTCCTGGAGGCACCTAAAAGGTTCCTCTGATAGGATCGTGGGAACATTGAGGAGCATTCAGGCGAGGATCACTTATAACTAGAATATTACTAGAGCTCTGCAGACATTTGTTCTCTGTAATCAAAGTTCAGGAAGAAAGGTCCAATACATTCTCACTGTCGCTGGCTTGTCAGCCACTAGAGCTCATGCAGATCATACATGTTCTCACCCAGCTCCAGAGTTTGTACAACAGCACCAAACAATACAACCATACAATCTGGAGAACATGGTTCTCCTCTCCCCATACAATAGCAATGTTCCCTCCATACCTTTATACACTATATTCCCTAAAGTATTGGGATGCCTGCCTTTACACACACATGACCTTTAATGGCCCCCCAGTCTTAGTCCGTAGGGTTCAATATTGAGTTGGCCCCGCCCTTTGCAGCTATAACAGCTTCACCTCTTCTGGGAAGCCGTCCACAAGGTTTAGGAGGGTGTCTATGGGAAGGTTGGACCATTCTTCCAGAAGCACATTTGTCAGGTCAGGCACTGATGTCGGGGGAGGAGGCCTGGCTCACAGTCTCCACTCTAATTCATCCCAAAGGTGTTCTATGGGGTTGAGGTCAGGACTCTGTGCAGGCCAGTCAAGTTCCTCCACCCCAAACTGGATCCTCCATGTCTTTATGGACCTTGCTTTGTGCACTGGTGTGCAGTCATGTTGGAACAGAAAGGGGCCATCCCCAAACTCTTCCCACAAAGTTGGGAGCATGAAATTGTCCCAATTGTCTTGGTATGCTGACGCCTTCACTGGAACTAGGGGGCCAAACCCAACGCCTGAAAAACAACCCCACACCATAATCGTCCCTCCACCAAACTTTACACTTGGCACAATGCAGTCAGGCAAGTACCGTTCTCCTAGCAACCACCAAACCCAGACACGTCCATCGGATTGCCAGACAGTGAAGCGTGATTGGTCACTCCAGAGAACATGTCTCAACTGCTCTAGAGTCCAGTGGCGGCGTGCTTTACACCACTGCATCTGACGCTTTGCATTGCACTTTGGTGATGGAAGGCTTGGATGCAGTTGCTTGGCCATGGAAACCCATTCCATGAAGCTCTCTACGCACTGTTGTTGTGTTAATCTGAAGGCCACACCAAGTTTGGAGGTCTTTAGCTATTGACTCTGCAGACAGTTGGCGACTTCTGCGCACTGTGCACTTCAGCATGCGCTGACCCCGCCCTGTCATGTGACGTGGCCTACCACTTGGTGGCTGAGTTGCTGTTGTTCCCAGTTGCTTCCACTTTGTTATAATCCCACTAACAGTTGAGCGTGGAATATTTAGTAGCCAGGAAATGTCACGGATGGACTTATTGCCCAGGTGACCACCTATCACGGGACCACGCTTGGAGTCACTGAGCTCCTGAGAGCGACCCATTCTTTCACCAATGTTTGTAGAAGCAGTCTGCATGCCTAGGGGCTTAATTGTATACACCTGTGTCCATGGAGGGGATTGGAACACCTGAATCACATGATTTGGAAGGCGGGGGACAATACTTCTGGCAATATAGTGTATATCGGGCATTCCATGTTGGTGGCGGCCCATTTACTGTGTACTTCTTTGTATGTTCCTGCATCACCTAAGATACGGTTTGAAAACTTATCAACTCCACACTTTTTTTTAATAATATATTATAGGCCATAAATAAAAGATATCACATCACACACTGATGCCTTTCTACTGTGTTTATTGTCATTTATTGTTGTTTTATTGTCATGCAGTAATATTAGAGTGTTCAATACACAGATTCCCCGCCCTTTCAGGGGATTTATATCCTAGGCAGGCTCCTGATCATGTGATTGTCTGTCACACTAGGGGCCTTTCCTACCGGCTCCCAACCCTGAAGAGTGACCAGGAGCTGTCAATAAAATCTTTGTCACAGTGATGGGGGGCGCCAAGTGAGCATGCTCCCAGCCGGGGACAGCGGGGCCTACTGTTACATACAAATAAATATATATATATATATATATATATATATATATATATATATATATATATACACATATATACATATACATACACACACACACACACATACATATACACACACATACATATACACACACATATATATATACATACATTCAGCAGCAACAGGCTAAATTGATACAGTTATGTGCACTCAGGAGCTCGGAGACACCATAAGGCAAGGCAGTTAGCACAGACGCAGCTGCAGAACCTCAGGGGCCACTCAGCTCAAGTGTCATTCTCAGATATGTCTCCCAGCCCCAGAGTGTGCACAACAGCATAAAGTAACACAACCATATATACATATATTTATAATCCTGTTCAGTACACAGCTCTGCTAATTGATACTGCTATGCACACTCAGGAGTTCAGAAACACCATGAGGCCTGGCAGTTGACATGGTAGCAGCAGTAGGACCTCAATGGCCACTCAGCTCCAAGGTCATCCTCAGTGGTCTCCCAGCTCCAGAGTGTGCACAACAGTATAAAGTACCACAACCATACATTCACATTCCTGTTCAGTACAGGGCTCTGTTCATTTCTTGCACACTCAGGAGTCCACAGACAGCATGAGGCCAGGCAGTTGACACGGTAGCAGCAGTAGGACCTCAGGGGTCTCTCAGCTCCAGGGTCATCCTCAGTGGTCTCCCAGCTCCAGAGTGTACACAACAGCATAAAGTACCACAACCATACATGCACATTCCTGTTCAGTACAGGGCTCTGTTAATGTCATGCGCACTCAGGAGTCCACAGATACCATGAGGCCTGGCAGTTGACACGGTAGCAGCAGTAGGTCCTCAATGGCCACTCAGCGCCAGGGTCATCCTCAGTGGTGTCCCAGCTCCAGAGTGTACACAACAACATAAAGTATCACAACCATACGTTCACATTCCTGTTCAGTATAGGGCTCTGTTAATGTCATGCACACTCAGGAGTCCACAGACACGAGGCCTGGCAGTTATTATTATACAGGATTTATATATTATTATTATTATTATTATACAGGATTTATATGGCGCCAACAGTTTGCTCAGCACTTTGCAATATAATGGGAGACAATACAGTTCAATACAAGAAGGTTAGGAGGGCCCTGATCCTGGGAGCTTACAATCTAGGAGGGAAGGGCTAGTGGTACAAAAGGTAGTTGACATGGTAGCAGCAGTAGGACCTCTGGGGTCTCTCAGCTCCAGGGTCTTCCTCAGGGGTCTCCCAGCTCCAGAGTGTGCACAACAGTATAAAGTACCACAACCATACATTCACATTCCTGCTCTGTACAGGGTTCTGTTAGGTCAGGCAGTTGACACAGCAGCAGCTGCAAGACCTCAGGGGCCCCTCAGATCCAGAATCATTACCATACAAAGGAAAGAGAAATAAGATGGCAAATGTTTCAAATGTCAGCACCATTATAATGCTGATAGAATACTGAATACTGAGGATCTGACACAAGCCCAGGTATGACTGGTCCTCTTCAGACTTGATACCTGGAAATTTTCAAAACCGTCATTCTTTAATGAATTCTTTAATCAGCACCATCTAAAAACAGGCATATACAGTGCAACTCATTCACACAAAAACAAAACAAAAAACAAAAACAAAAAAAATAAAAATTGCAGTTTCTAATTATCTGAGCAGAGAAGACCGAGTCTCAGAAAGACCCGATCGTCCACCAAGTCTATGTAGAGGGAATTGTAAGAACGATCCCTCCTAGTTCCGCGGGTAGTGGTGCCAAGAGAACTATCCTGGGAGAAGGTCCTGGTTATTGGTGGGACATCCTGACTGGGGATGAGAGAAGAAGCATTGCAGCTTCACCAGAGGAAGGTCCATGAAGTCAGCCGAAGATGCCGGGGTCGTGTAGACGGAAACTGCACAGGAGACGGTGGAAATCTTCCTGAGTCCATGGAGGAGAGGAGCCGTCTGATGATCCAGAGGGGGCGCTACTGCTGGCTGGACTGAGAGGAAACAAGATGGGGAAGAGGTTAATGAGAGGACCACCTGTACACTGCACTGTGCTGTCTACAGTCTGTATCGCCCTGCAGGAGGAGGACAGACTCATAGCCCCCTTCTGTCTGTATCACCCTGCAGGAGGAGGACAGACTCATAGCCCCTTCTGTCTGTATCACCCTGCAGGAGGAGGACAGACTCATAGCCCCTTCTGTCTGTATCACCCTGCAGGAGGAGGACAGACTCATAGCCCCTTCTGTCTGTATCGCCCTGCAGGAGGAGGACAGACTCATAGCCCCCTTCTGTCTGTATCACCCTGCAGGAGGAGGACAGACTCATAGCCCTCTTCTGTCTGTATCACCCTGCAGGAGGAGGACAGACTCATAGCCCCCTTCTGTCTGTATCACCCTGCAGGAGGAGGACAGACTCATAGCCCCCTTCTGTCTGTATCGCCCTGCAGGAGGAGGACAGACTCATAGCCCCTTCTGTCTGTATCACCCTGCAGGAGGACAGACTCATCCCCCTTCTATCTGTATCACCCTGCAGGAGGAGGACAGACTCATAGCTCCCTTCTGTCTGTATCACCCTGCAGGAGGAGGACAGACTCATAGCCCCCTTCTGTCTGTATCACCCTGCAGGAGGAGGACAGACTCATAGCTCCCTTCTGTCTGTATCACCCTGCAGGAGGAGGACAGACTCATAGCCCCCTTCTGTCTGTATCACCCTGCAGGAGGAGGACAGACTCATAGCTCCCTTCTGTCTGTATCACCCTGCAGGAGGAGGACAGACTCATAGCCCCCTTCTGTCTGTATCACCCTGCAGGAGGAGGACAGACTCCTAGCCCCCCTTCTGTCTGTATCACCCTGCAGGAGGAGAACAGACTCCTAGCCCCCTTCTGTCTGCATCATCCTGCAGGAGGAGGACAGACTCATAGCCCCCTTCTATCTGTATCATCCTGCAGGAGGAGGACAGACTTATAGCCCCCTTCTGTCTTTATCACCCTGCAGGAGGAGTACACATAGCTCCCTTCTGTCTGTATCACCCCGCAGGAGGAGGACAGACTCGTAGCCCCCTTCTGTCTGTATCACCCTGCAGATGGAGGACAGACTCGTAGCCCCCTTCTGTCTGTATCACCCTGCAGGAGGAGAACAGACTCATAGCCCCCTTCTGTCTGTATCACCCTGCAGGAGGAGGACAGACTCATAGCCCCCTTCTATCTGTATAACCCTGCAGGAGGAGTACACAGAGCTCAATTTGTATCACTTACTCTATAGCTACAGGATGGTTGAATGTCACCAGGAGGTCTGTGGAATATTGTGGCATTCTGAACAAAGCCATGTGTATGGTGACCGTATTCTGAGCCTGAGGAGAGACAACAAATAGTATCCAGCAGAACAACATGATAGACAACATACTGAATGCATAGATACAAACATGGCATGCTGGGCGTTGTAGTGCTCCCAGGTGAGTCACAAGTCTATGGAGTAACTCCTGGAAAATGGGCACACGGCTGGGGTCACTTGGCTTTCTGTGGAGACATCAATCATGAGCTCTTCCTATTGTACTTTGGAGTCTCACTCCTTCTCCTGCAATAACAGGAATCATTCCCCTCCCTCCTAGATTGTAAGCTCCCAGGATCAGGGCCCTCCTAACCCTCTTGTATTGAACTGTATTGTTGCTGTATTGTCTCCCTTATATTGTAAAGCGCTGAGCAAACTGTTGGCGCTATATAAATCCTGTATAATAATAATATATAAATCCTGTATAATAATAATAATAATATATAAATCCTGTATAATAATAATAATAATAATATATAAATCCTGTATAATAATATATAAATCCTGTATAATAATAATAATAATAACAATAATAATATATAAATCCTGTATATAATAATAATAATATATAAATCCTGTATAATAATATATAAATCCTGTATAATAATAATAATATATAAATCCTGTATAATAATATATAAATCCTGTATAATAATAATATATAAATCCTGTATAATAATAATATATAAATCCTGTATAATAATAATAATATATAAATCCTGTATAATAATAATATATAAAACCTGTATAATAATAATAATATATAAATCCTGTATATAATAATAAAATATAATATATAAATCCTGTATAATAATAATAATAATAATATATAAATCCTGTATAATATTAATAATAATATAAATCCTGTATAATAATAATATATAAATCCTGTATAATAATAATAATATATATCCTGTATAATAATAATATATAAATTCTGTATAATAACAATAATAATAATTCCACAGGATTGTCCAATGGAGATTCTAAATTCTAGTACCAGCTCACTGCTGGAGCCATCCAAGTCATGGAATCTGGAATGAGCAGAAGAGCTGTACACTGTAACTGGAGGGGGAAGAATTACCTGTTCATTGAATTTGGATACAAGCTGGTGACCGGTGAGGGCCCAGGCACTACAGCAGCTGCTGAGGGAGAGCTGTGCCAGTGGGAGTGGCTCAACGCTGATAATCTCCACCTTTCCCTGGGCATCATTGCTGGTGGCAACATCTTCAAAGTGGTACCTACCCCAGGGACAAGAGATGAGGCATTACCCCTGTGCTCTGTACTTTAATACGCTGAAATATATTCCTCAATAGACACAAAGGATATACATTCCATGTGCAGCAAATCCCAAACCCAGATATTACCCTTTGAAAGTAGCAGTGACATCATCACCGTGCTGTACACAGCCTGTACAGAGAGCAGAGCTGTGGGAGTGGCCCAGAAGGTCAGCCCACTACATGCTGTTGGGAGGGGCCAAGCAGCCTCGCCAACTACAAGCTGCCTGCGGAAAAACCACAGGAGGGAGCGGAGACAAGACCAGTCACCCTGCACAAGGAGGAAGAGCAGCAGTAAGCGGTCTTTATTACAGGAGGGGGCGGAGACAAGACCAGTCACCCTGCACAAGGAGGAAGAGCAGCAGTAAGCGGTCTTTATTACAGGAGGGGGCGGAGAGACAAGACCAGTCACCCTGCACAAGGAGAGGGAACAGCCGTGAGCGGTCTTTATTACAGGAGGGGGCGGAGACAAGACCAGTCACCCTGCACAAGGAGGAACAGCAGCAGTGAGCGGTCTTTATTACAGGAGGGGGCGGAGACGAGACCAGTCACCCTGCACAAGGAGAGGGAAGAGCCGTGAGCGGTCTTTATTACAGGAGGGGGCGGAGACGAGACCAGTCACCCTGCACAAGGAGAGGGAAGAGCCGTGAGCGGTCTTTATTACAGGAGGGGGCGGAGACGAGACCAGTCACCCTGTACAAGTAGAGGGAACAGTCGTGAGCGGTCTTTATTACAGGAGGGGGCGGAGACGAGACCAGTCACCCTGCACAAGGAGGAAGAGCAGCAGTGAGTGGTCTTTATTACAGGAGGGGGCTGTAATCACAAACATGACAACAAAGAGGAGGCTGTAATCAAACAAGCATGCGGTCTAGGGCCACAGATTATGCTGCACCCAGTACATAAACAGCAGAAGGGACCCGAGGCCGTAGCAGTTGATTATACGACATAGAGGTGGTGCAGGCAGACCAGGGCGCTAGGCAAGGTAGCAGCTTTGCTCCCCTTCCTCCATCCCATCAACTGATAAGGATTGCAATAGGCCTGCCCATTGGACACCAACCATCTAGGAGTGCATGTGCTGGGAACAGACAGGTGTACAGCTTTGACCCCTGGATTACTGCAAGTGCATGTAGCTGGGCCCACTGAACATCCACCGGGCCCCCCCTGAACATCCACCGGGCCCCCCCTGAACATCCACCGCGCCCCCCCTGAACATCCACCGCGCCCCCCCTGAACATCCACCGGGCCCTGGGACCCTGCCTAAGTTGCCTTGTGACTCTGACAGTAGGTAAAAGAAATTAATAAAATCAAAACGACTTTCTAAATAAACTATATAAATACAATTCCCCACAGCACCATCAACACCTTCACCCCAAAAGATGTGTAAAATTAATAAACAGAAGATGCTATAAAATAAATCCTCAGTAATAGATAAATATGTGAAGTCCAAACCCTAGAAGTCCACAAAATAAATCAAGTTCTTCTCATGTAATAGCGTGTTCAAAAATCTTTCCAAAACTTTCCACGATAATATTCCTCAAAAAATAAAGAAGCGGGGGGGTGCGCCGCTGGCGGCGGGAAATTTGAAAATTTTGAAAAATGTCATTTTTTTCAAAAAACAAATTTTACATAGTATAACATTCCTGTTTCAAACCATTTCACATACATTTTGTCCCGAGTGCTTTGTCCGGCGCCCTGCCTGCATTTTTACTGTTCTTTCTGCCTGGAAACTGAGAAACGTCCATGGCGTCCAAAAAGCGTCCCTTTAGGTCAAAAGCGGTTTTAGACCGGCTAGAGAACAGCGATAGTAAATCAGAACCACTTGCAGAATTGAGTGATAATGATTTATGGGGGAAATTCATCATCAGACACTGAAAACAATTCTGCGACTGAGCTCAGTGATGTGCGAACTTGGCGCTATATTTCACATTTCAGTGTTTTTGGTTTGATTATATTATTGAATTACATTTATTATTATTATATTATTATTATTTATTACATTATAATTTATGATTTCGTGTTTGAAATTTTATCCTCCCCGGGATGTTTACTAGACTCTTGTTCGGACAGATTTCAGTGAGTTATTCCTAAAAATTACAGCCTACAATAAAAAAACAACATATTTCCATGCAAAATAATAGTACCGCTTTCAGCACCAAAAATCTGAAATAATCAGACCGCCGAGGAGGTTAATCAAAATGCTTACATTTTGCCAACTTGAAAAACGCTTAAAATACCAAGAAATAGCCTTGCTGTCATCCAGGAAGTGCCCAGGGAAAAATTAGATGGTCTTTCCCTCATCCAAAATGGCCGCCGCTCAACTTCCGGTTCCCGTGTGCGTCTTGACGTCACTTCCCCTTGACGCGTTTCGTCATCGACTTAATCATAAGGGATCCCTTATGATTAAGTTGATGACGAAACGCGTCAAGGGGAAGTGCATACGTAAATGGCAGCACGGTGGTTTTGATGGCAGTTGGGCACACTACGCTGGGTAAGGAAGATGTGAGTGGCCAGGTAATTGGTAAAGAACTGCGAAGAGCCAAGTTCTAAGGTGGAGAGCTTAACAATGCACCTGAAAATTCGGCTATAACACCAAAAACAAAAAGGTGTGCCAAGTATCTTTGTTTTCTTTCAAATGCAACCATAACCGAAGTAGAAAAGCCTGTCCCCTGCCAGCACGTTGCAGAGAAGGAACCTTACTCCCTAGAAGGAAGCAGTGGCCTCTCTGCAGAGGTCCAGTCAGCCATCTGCTGAATCAAACCTATAGCTCTGCAAATCAGCAAATCCCACGCACCTTTCTGATTGGAGGGCTCTGCTTTTCAGACCTCTGCAGAGAGACCACTGCTTACACACATAGATCAAAGGTCCGTCTGTGCAGCATGCTGGCAGGTGACAGGCTTCTCTGTGACCCCTGTCTACGAATAGAATGTCAGGCTTGGCACACGCCCCCCGGAATGTCTTCAGCCAGGTTCATGTAAAGGTTCAAGATATGAAAGATTGGGCAGAGGGTCTCCGGGAACAGGGCGGCTCCAGGTAAGGGGGGCCTTCCCAGCATTACAATGTGATCTACAGTATTACCGAGCAGCGTCGGGGTCCGCCATACCGCCCTGATACTCCAGGAGCTCCACAATGATACTCTGATCTGTGTGCGCATGAGCAAACACCTCCTGGTTGTCGGGGATCTCCCGCAGGTCACTGGGGGGAAAAGGACAGGAGTGAGGCACAAGAGCTTACAATCACTGGCTCTACAAGTACTATCACTAGAGGTCTGGAAGAAAATGAGAAGGGCTTTAGGTCAATACCAGTCTATTTATAGGATCTATACTGTGAGCCTCCCTCCCTCGTCAGTCTATATATAGGATCTATAATGTGAGCCCCCCTCATCAGTCTATATACAGGATCTATAATGTGAGCCCCCCTCATCAGTCTATATATAGGATCTATAATGTGAGCCCCCCTCATCAGTCTATATATAGGATCTATAATGTGAGCCCCTTCATCAGTCTATATACAGGATCTATAATGTGAGCCCCCCTCATCAGTCTATATATAGGATCTATAATGTGAGCCCCCCTCATCAGTCTATATACAGGATCTATAATGTGAGCCCCCCTCATCAGTCTATATATAGGATCTATAATGTGAGCCCCCCTCATCAGTCTATATATAGGATCTATAATGTGAGCCCCTTCATCAGTCTATATACAGGATCTATAAAGTGAGCCCCCCTCCCTCATCAGTCTATATAGAGGATTTATAAAGTGAGCCCCCTCCCTCATCAGTCTAAATACAGAATCTATAATGTGAGCCCCCTCCCCCTCATCAGTATATATACAGGATCTATAATGTTAGCCCCCTCCCTCATCAGTCTATATACAGGATCTATAATGTGAGCCCCCTCCCTCATCAGTCTATATATAGGATCTATAATGTTAACCTCCCCTCATCAGTCTATATATAGGATCTATAATGTTAGCCCCCCCTCATCAGTCTATATATAGAATCTATAATGTTAGCCCCCCCTCATCAGTCTATATACAGGATCTATAATGTGAGCCCTCCTCCCTCATCAATCTATATAGAGGATCTATAATGTGAGCCCCCTCCCTCATCAGTCTATATAATCTATAATGTTAGCCCCCCCTCATCAGTCTATATACAGGATCTATAGTGTGAGCCCCCCTCCCTCATCAATCCATACACAGGATCTATAATGCGAGCCCCCTCCCTCATCAGTCTATATACAGGATCTATAATGTGAGCCCCCCTCCCTCATCAGTCTATATAGAGGATTTATAAAGTGAGCCCCCTCCCTCATCAATTTATATAGAGGATATATAATATGAGCCCCCTCCCTCATCAGTCTATATACACGATCTATAATGTGAGCCCCCTCCTTCATCAGTCTATATACAGGATCTATAATGTGAGCCCGTCCCTCATCATTCTATATATAGAATCTATAATGTTAGCCTGCCCCTCATCAGTCTATATACAGGATCTATAATGTGAGCCCCCTCCTTCATCAGTCTATATACAGGATCTATAATGTGAGCCCCGTCCCTCATCATTCTATATATAGAATCTATAATGTTAGCCTGCCCCTCATCAGTCTATATACAGGATCTATAGTGTGAGTCCCCCTCCCCTCATCAATCCATACACAGGATCTATAATGTGAGCTCCCCTCCCTCATCAGTCTATATACAGGATCTATAATGTGAGCCCCCCCCTTCCTCACAAGTCTATATACAGGATCTATAATGTGAGCCCCCCTCATCAGTCTATATACAGGATCTAAAAAGTGAGCCCCCCTCCCTCATCAATCTATATACGGGATCTATAACGTGAGCCCCCCTCCATCATCAGTCCATACAGAGGATATATAATGTGAGCCCCCCTCCCTCATCAGTCTATATACAGGATCTATAATGCAAGCCCCTTCTCTCACCAGTCTATATAATCTATAATGTGAGCCCCCCTCCCTCATCAGTCTAGATACAGGATCTATAATGTTAGACCCCCTCATCAGTCCATACACAGGATCTATAATGCGAGCCCCCTCCCTCAGTCTATATACAGGATCTATAATGCAAGCCCCTTCCCTCACCAGTCTATATAGAGGATCTATAATGTGAGCCCCCATCCCTAATCAGTCTATATACAGGATCTATAATGTGAGCCCCCCCCCCCCATCAATCCATATACAGGATCTATAATGTGCCCTACATCAGTCTATATAGAGGATCTATAACATGACCCCCCATCATCAGTATATATAGATCTGTAACGTGACCCCCACATCAGTCTATATAGAGGATCTATAATGCCCCTCCTCACCTGACATCTTGTATTAATGGGGGGAGGAGGGCAGAGAAGGCACCTCCAAACAGAGGACGTTGTATAGCAGTGGCTTCCATAACAGAGAAGTGACAACTCCCAGCATGCACTGCCACACTCACTCCACATGTACTTCCCGCTTATAAACTACAACTCCCAGCATGCACTGCCACACTCACTCCACATGTACTTCCCGCTTATAAACTACAACTCCCAGCATGCACTGGGAAGGTTTTCCTCCCCTCAATATACTTTTCAAAACAGCTTTTAACCTTTAGTATTGTTTAATATTGCAAAATAAAGCATGCTTCCAGCCAAGTTTCTTATTTTTATTCCACCAAACAAAATCCCTCGGATGAGGCGGAACTCGTGTGAGTGTAGTGCGCATGCGTATGGACGTCGGCTTCCTGCTGTTACTATAAAGCAACAAATAATTCCGTCAGCGGTCAAAATTTGGAAATAAAAACGGAATGCGGCGAGAATATTTTTAATGTGACGTAATTGTAATAACTGTGTGGTAGTGATGGCAGCGCCGTTCTTAGAAACGAAGGTCGGCCATTTTGACTATGGGCAGGAAGTACCGTGCTTCTCCAGCTTCCCCCTCCCTCAGGAGCGGCGGGAAATCAGATCTTTTAAATGTATTGTAATTTATATGTCATTTATGTCCGATAGGATTTCTTAAAAAAAAAAGTAAAAGTAAGATGTGAGGAGCAGAAAGTTATCTTTGTATTTTATTTTGAGAGTTTATGACGTTTTGGCAGTGACGTAATTGAAGGGAATGTTGGCCATTTTATCTATGGGCAGGACGTCCTCACTCAGAACTATGGCGGGTCACTATTTTTGTTTAGCTATTTTGTAATTTGAGTAAAAAAAAAAGCTAAAAATAAATAAAAAATGTGATATAGAATATTATACTTTTGACAGAATATGAACTCCTGCTAAGTTATTAAAATTAGTCTGAAGCAAAAATTTTGGTTTAGCTTTGGACTAAGTGGGGAAGTATTAGAAGCATCGGCAGGTTTCCCCGCTGCGGAAGGCTCACTTGGAGAGATTCCCTCACTTCCTGTCTTTGAGATTCCCTCAGTTCCTGTCTCCATTAGAGAGGATCTGTCACTTCCTCTCCCTGATGGAGAGATTCCCTCACTTCCTGTCTCTGAGAGAGATTCCCTCATTTCCTGTCTCCGATAGAGAGATTCTGTCACTTCCTGTCCCTGTTGGAGAGATTCCCTCACTTCCTGACCCTGATGGAGAGATTCCCTCACTTCCTGTTCCTGTTGGAGAGATTCCCTTGCTTTCCGCCTCTGATGGAGAGATTCCCTCACTTCCTGTCCCTGATGGAGAGATTCCCTCGCGTCCTCTCTACAATGGAGAGATTCCTCACTTCCTGTCCCTGATCAAGAGATTCCCTCACTTTCTGCCTCTGATGGAGAGATTGGAATTCCTTCATCTCCACTCTCTGTTGGAGAGATTCCTTCCATTCCTGTTTTCATTCCTTCACTCTTCTTCTCCATTAGAGAGATTCCCTCGCTTCATTCCTCTGATGGAGAGATTCCCTCACTTCTTGTCTCTAATGGAGAGATTCACTCACTTCCTGTCTGTGATGGAGGAATTCCCTCATTTCCTGTCTCTGATGGAGATATTCCCTCACTTCCTGTCTCCAAAAGAGAGATTCCTTCACTTTCTGTCTCTACTGATCAGATTGTCTCACTTCCTGTCTCCAATGGAGAGATTCCTTCACTTCCTGTCTTCAATGGAGAGACTCCCTCACTTCTTGCCTCCGATAGATTCCTTCACTTCCTGTCTCTGACAGAGAAATTATTTCATTTTCTGTCTCAGATGAAGAGATTCCCTAATTTCCTGTTTCTGACGGAGAGATTTCACTTCATGACTCCGATGGAGAGATTTCTTTGATTACTTTCTCCAACGGAGAGATTCCTTCATTTCCTGACTGTCTCTGCTGGACAGATTCATTCACTTCCTGTCTCTGATGGAGAAGTTGCTTATTTTCCATTCCATTTTGGAGAACATTTCTCACTTCCTGTCTCCGATGGAGAGATTCCCTCACTTCCTGTCTCCAATGGAGAGATTCCCTCACTTCCTGTCTCCAATGGAAAGATCCTCACTTCTTTTCTCTGATGGAAAGATTCCCTCATTCCTGTCTGTGATGGAGGGATTCCCTTATTTCCTGTCTCCAAAAGAGAGATTCCTTCACTTTCTGTCTCTACTGATCAGATTGCCTCACTTCCTGTCTCCGATGGAAAGATTCCTTCACTTCCTGACTGTCTCTGCTGGACAGAATAATTCACTTCCTGTCTCCAATGGAGAAGATGCTTAATTTCCATTCTCTTTTGGAGAACCTTCCTCACTTCTTGTCTCCGATGGAGAGATTTGATAATTTCCTGTCTCAGATGGAGAGATTCCCTCACTTCCTGTCTCCAATGGAGAGAATCACTCACTTCTTGTCTCCGATGGAGAGATTCCTTCACTTCCTGTCTCTGATGGAGAGATTCCCTTACTTCCTGTCTCCAATGAAGAGATTACCTCCCTTCTTTTCTCCGATAAAGAACTTGCCTCACTTCTTGTGTCTGATGGAGAGATTCCCTCACTTCCAGTCTCTGCTGGTCAGATTCCTTCACTTTCTGTCTCTGTTGGAGAGATTCCCTCACTTCCTGTCTCCATTGGAGAGATTCCCTCACTTCTTTTCTCCGATGGAGAGATTCCTAACTTCCTGTCTCCAATGGAGAGATTCCCTCACTTCCTGTCTCCAGTGGAGAGATTCTCTCACTTCCTGTCTCCAATGGAGAGATTCCCTCACTTCTTTTCTCCGATGGAGAGATTCCCTCATTCCTGTCTGTGATGGAGGGATTCCCTCATTTCCTGTCTCTGATGGAGAGATTCCTTCACTGCCTGTCTCCAAAAGAGAGATTCCTTCACTTTCTGTCTTCAATGGAGAGACTCCCTCACTTCTTGCCTCCGATAGAGAGATTCCTTCACTTCCTGTCTCTGACAGAGATTATTTCATTTTCTGTCTCTGATGAAGAGATCCCCTCACTTCCTGTCTCTGACGGAGAGATTATTTCACTTCCTGACTCCAATGGAGAGATTTCTTCAATTCCTTTCTCCAATGGAGAGATTCCCTCACTTCTTGTCTCCGATCAAGAGATTCCTTCACTTCCTGTCTCTGATGGAGAGATTCCCTCACTTCCTGTCTCTGACGAACAGATTACCTCCCTTTCTTTTCTCCGATAAAAAACTTGCCTCACTTCTTGTGTCTGATGGAGAGATTCCCTCACTTCCAGTCTCTGCTGGTCAGATTCCTTCACTTTCTGTCTCTGTTGGAGAGTTTCCCTCACTTCCTGTCTCTGGTGGAGAGATCCCTCACTTCCTGTCTCTGATGGAGAGATCCCTCACTTCCTGTCTCTGATGGAGAGATTCCTTCACGTCCTGTCTTTGACAGAGAGATTCCTTCAATTCCTGTCTCCAATGGAGAGAATCCTTAAATTTCTGTCCCCGATGGAAAAATTCCTTCCTTTCCTGTAACCAGTAGAGAGATTCCCTCACTTCCTGTCTGTCCTCATCTCCTTACTATGTTGGAGAGATCTCTCCATTCATGTTTTCGATGGAGAGATTCCTTCAGTTTTCTTCTCTATTGGAGGGTTTTTTCACTTCCTGTCTGTCTCTGCTGGAGAGATCCTTTAATCTTGCCTCTGTTGGGGAGATTCCTTCACTTCCTGTCCATCTCCGTTGGAGAGATTCCTTGTCTGCCTGTGCTGGAGAGATTCCTTCACTTCCTGTCTGCCTGTACTGGAGAAAGCCTTCACTTTTTTTCTCCTTTGAAGAGATTCCTTCACTTCCTGTCCGTCTACGTTAGAGAGGTTCCTTCACTTCCTGTCCGTCTACGTTAGAGAGATTCCTTCACTTCCTGTCCGTCTACGTTAGAGAGATTCCTTCACTTCCTGTCCGTCTACGCTAGAGAGATTCCTTCACTTCCTGTCTGTCTACGTTAGAGAGATTCCTTCAGTTCCTGTCCGTCTACGTTAGAGAGATTCCTTCAGTTCCTGTCCGTCTACGCTAGAGAGATTCCTTCACTTCCTGTCCGTCTATGTTAGAGAGCTTCAGTTCCTGTCCGTTCAGATTTCTTCACTTCCTGTCCGTCCTGTCCGTCTACTACGTTAGAGAGATTTCTTCACTTCCTGTCCGTCTACGTTAGAGAGATGCCTTCACTTCCTGTCTGTCTCCGTCTTTAGAGAGATTCCTTCACTTTCTGTCCGTCTACGTTAGAGAGATTCCTTCACTTCCTGTCCGTCTACGTTAGAGAGCTTCCTTCAGTTCCTGTCGGTCTACGTTAGAGAGATTCCTTCACTTTCTGTCCGTCTACGTTAGAGAGATTCCTTCACTTCCTGTCCGTCTACGTTTAGAGAGATTCCTTCACTTCCTGTCCGTCTACGTTAGAGAGATTCCTTCACTTTCCTGTCCGTCCGTCTACGTTAGAGAGATTCCTTCACTTCCTTCCGTGTCCGTCCGTCTACGTTAGAGAGGTTCCTTCACTTCCTGTCCGTCTACGTTAGAGATATGCCTTCACTTCCTGTCCGTCTACATTAGAGAGATTCCTTCACTTCCTGTCTGTCTACGTTAGAGAGATTCCTTCAGTTCCTGTCCGTCTACGTTAGAGAGGTTCCTTCACTTTCTGTCCGTCTACGTTAGAGATATGCCTTCACTTCCTCTCTGTCTACGTTGGAGAGATTCCTTCACTTCCTGTTTGCCTGTACTGGAAAAAGCCTTCACTTTTTTTTCTCCTTTGAAGAGATTCCTTCACTTCCTGTCTGTCTCCACTGGATCCCCAGCAATATTTAAAAAATGGTTCTGGACAGAGTGGAGAGGAATCAGTGAAATTCACCCTCTCTGTTTGTCCTGTTAACTGTTATCTTTAAAAGTAAAAGGAAATCCCAAATTTAGGGTTGTCACCAGAACAGGAATAGAGGGGAAATCTCCAATGGGGACACTCGTTTTGCTGACCACCAGTAATTCTTTCACATTGGAGGGATTTCTTACTACTTCTTTGCTTTTGCTATGGGACAGGAAGTAAAAGAAAATCTCCCCAAGGAGACGGAGATACCGGA